TTCTAGATAATAGTCCTTTGTCTGAAGAGCAGCTAGTAAAAATTCTTTCCCACATTGTAGGGATTGAACTCGGGTCCTTGCTCTTGCAAGGCAAGCAGTGGAACCACTGAGCTAAATCCCTAGCCCTATGGGATATACTTTAAAACTATTTAATGTGGGGTTTTTTCCTCATGGACTTTCATCCACTAGTTTTAGCATTCGTTGATGATTCCTGCCAGAATTAGTGTTATATTGGTTGCCAAATGATTTTCTAATATTCTGTCCATATTTATCAGTACTCTAAAGTGAGAAAGAATCTTCCTTTCTTCATACACTTACCTCTTTTTTTTTTATTATCAGCATGGACTTACGGGTTCTTACTTTACTTGGTTATAAACCATGACTGTCTTTTAATGCTCAGATGATTGCATATTTGGCCAGTGGGCAGCCTTTCAGCCAGTTCCTGTGTACTTTTTAATAAAGTCCCATCCTTTTTTAAACACTTCACTTTCTGGCACAATAAGATATTCAGGCTTGCTTTGTATTTTCCCTGTGTGGGCCCTGGAATGCCTCTTTCTGAAACTTCATTCTCTAAGGAGAATTACCTTCTAGTGGAGAATGCTATTTAAAAATCAAATGCTGGCTTTTGGAGTCATTGATACTAGGACTTTTGGCAGAGCTAGAGAATGTGTATGTGTCTAACATATACACATATATCTATATCTACACCTATTTTGGTGTCTGTCTCTCAGTTTCTCTTTCACTCATTCCCTCCCTTCCTCCTTCTCTGCCAACTATGAGTTCACAATGACTCTTCCGATTCTAACTGGATCCCTCAGTACATACTGTGGATTTCTTCCTTCCCATGCTCAGAACTTCCTTCTCTGGCAGTGAGAAACTTGGGTCCTTGTAGACTCCCTATCCTTAACTCCTTGCTGATTTCTTCTGTGTAATCAATCTTCTGATCCTCCAGCTGCCTCTTGACCTGAGTCTCTCAGGTGCCACTGCCCCAGCCATGTCAAGGAAAGGGAAGAGAATGATATATGGTTTTTAAAGCAAAGAAAGAAAAGGGGAGAGGGAAAGGAAGAGCAAGAGAACAAGAAGGGAAACGGGAGGTCTTTTTATCTTTTTCTCCACAGTCCAGACAGCCCTGTGAAGGGCAGAGAGCAGGAGATGTGTGGAACAGATGGAGAACTGAATGGAGATGCTCAGACTCTTCCAGTGTCAGGAGGCCCTGGGCTTCTTTTCCTCTACTCAGTCATTCTTCTGTAATGAGTGAGGAGCGTATAGGGGCTATTTGTCTTCATTTCAAAAGCCAGAGAAATCCATTCTGTAAGCAGGCTTGTTAAGTAAACCCTTTCCTTGTCAGTATAATGTTCAACTTAACCCAGCTGTAACTAACCAATAAGCCAACAGCTGGCAAGGCCACTGACCCTGGAGCTGAGTGGACTCTGTGAAGTCTGACAAAAGTCCCTGACCAAAGGCAGGCAAGCAGGAGTGCTGGCCTTCTTCAGTATGCTGTGTTTACAGGACACCTGGAAAGACCTGGGAAAGATGGAAAGGAGATCAGAGTTCAGGGCCAGGGCCTTGGGTTAGTGCTCTCCAAGGCAGGGTAGAGTCAGAAAACTGTGAGGCAGGCAACATCTGTTACAGCAACCGCTTTAATCACCAACTTCTAAGAGACAAAGCAGGATGATTGAGAGTAGCCTTCTATAGAGTGGGCCAGGAAATCAAATACTGAATATCACGTAGAGGAGTTTACTCCCAGAAGTGAAGTTAATTCCCAGATTTGCATTTGGAAACTACTTACATTATGCAAAGCAGCAATGTAATGTGGGTAGGGGAGTAATCAGTAAACACAGGAAGATATCCCAGCTGCAAAGATTGGCACAAGAGATCATGGTGCCAGCACTCCGTGACTAGACACCTCTAAAGCTGGAGAGTCTTTTTTCATTTGCTTGTATACCTTACAGTGTTCAGGTTGGATAGTGAATTAGGCAAGTTTCTTAAGCTCTCGGTGCCTCTCTTTTCCCAAATAGGAAATGGGAATACTAATGCCTACTTCATAAACTTATTGTGAGGTCTAAATTAGTAATTAAGTTACTTATGGTGTATAGTAATCTGAAGATTCTTATTTTCTGTCTTATTTTTTCTCTACATTCTGAAAAATATCTACCCCCTTTAAGTCTTATGTGCACAGCTTCCCTAAGCTTGGCCCCTCAACTCCCTCTATATCAAGGAGCTCTACAAGATGCAAACAGCTAGATCCTAGAGAATACATTCTACAGAATAGAGCAGATAGCTCCTTGCAGTATTTTTCTGTGTATCAATTACCTGTGCTCTCCTTCTATCCACTTGTCTATTCTTGAGGACTGGAACTAGGTTCTATCATAGGCAGTCTATGGAATAACAAAATGGGCAAGGGTTGGATTAAAAAACTGGACTTCAATCTTATGTTACTTAAAAGGTACATGGTACTGGACAAGTTACTTATCTAGCCCTAGGCTCTATTCTCTCATTAGTAAAAGGAATACAAACACCTCCTTTGTCATAATGGAGATTACTGGCATTGTTATTGAAGTGCTGGCCCTGTTTGTCATGTGACAGTCACTAATAGATGGTAAATACTACTGTCACTATTACAGAACCCCTAGCACAGACAACATACTGAATACACACTCAGTGCATTAATGAAGTGGCTCTGCCTGATTTCTTTATGGCTGCTTCTCTCCTTTGTACTCAACCTTTCAATAAAACATACCCCGAGAAGCTGGTTTAGCAAGCTCATTTTACAGACAAGAAAACGGAGCCCTGTCAGTGGATATAACTGGTAGGCTGCCTTGCAGGCAAGGAATTCTAGAACCTAAGAATTTGGGCTCAATGTCCCAAAGTGTTCCCACTGTCATGTGACACACTTTCTTGGGACGTGCCATTCACATTTTGGTCCCAACCTCATTCCAGAATTTACTTCTCATTGCTCTTTCAACAGGAGAAGTCGAGTTCCAAGATCTTCAGATGGACCCACAGACGGATGACTATTTAAGCTGAACAGAGTCCAATGCTCCCAGGGCCAAAACAAACAAAACACCAATCTCTCTACTGCTCCCACAGCCAATGCCATTGCAAAATGTTCCCACTTTCCATGGAAAGAGGACAATCAAAGTCCACTGGATTCCCAGTGTCCCAAGTAAACCTCTGATCTATACAGATTTATAGATTTATAAACAATTTATGTCAATTATTGGTTTCTGTAATCAAATGATCTTTCCTTTTTAGTTGTCCTAAATATTACCCATAGATAGGCTTTTGTAAATATATACAATTAGTCTATATGCGTAATTCAACAGGTTTTAGCAACCCCATTAGGTACCATCTACTTAAAAACAGATTAACAGGGCTGGGGATTTAGGTCAGCGGTTCGGTGGCCTGCCTTGCAAGCACAAGGACCCGAGTTCAATTCCCGGTACCAAAAAAAAAAACAAAAACCCAAAACAGATTAACAAACCTCCATCCCCAGCTTTCCCTTGAGGGAAGGGATTATGAGATTTCAGAAGAATCACTGAACTGAAGCAATGAATGTACAAACAAGTTATATGCAGAAATGTGTGTGTGTGTGTGTGTGTGTTACTAGGATGAGTCCCTGCCTTTTAGTGGGTCCATGAGTACTTCAATCTTTAGCCTTCTTTTCAAATTCTTAAAATAGGGAGGAAGTGGAGATGAGGTACAGTAATCACCTGTGCCAACAAAAGACTCCTATAACATTCAAAGGTGACTCAGCTCTATTACTTAAGACTACAAATTTGTTCTCCTTGTGAAGGAAGCAGATGACAGTAACTCATGTCTTAGAGTCAACAGCATCTAAGGCTTTGGACAGCAGAACCTGATGACTTGTAAAGAGGAGCATCTTCCAGAAGCCCCAGCATAAAAGATAAGTATACCTATAGTTTCCTGGGGGACATCCTGCTGGGAGGCAATGTAGGACCAGATGTGAAAAATGTGTTTGCCAGATGTGAGTTTTTGGTCCCTAGAAATTCTTGGGCTCTTCCTGCTGACTCTGGGAACTAAATTCTAGGTTGGGAAGAGGGTCTCTCCTGATGGCCAGCCTTAAATTGAGTTCTTAAGCCCCAGCAGTTAAATGGACTGGGGGAGAAGACTTGGTAGCTCATTAAACAAATAAGGAGCTTGAGCTGGAACTCAGGAGTTAGGGTTTTTTGTTTTTGTTTCCTAAGGATCCTTTATGAAGCCATCATTTCCTTCCATTTCCCTAGGCTACACCAGCACACCTTTGATCCCAGCTCCTCCAAGTTAAGATGTGTTAAATTTTCCAAGTTGTCACCCAGGTTTCTGGCCCTTTTTAGGTAGATTCCTGATAGGAGGTCTGGTACTGGGCTAGACCTTTCATCATAAATTAATAGAAAAAGAGCCAAATACATTCAGTGAATGTTTTCAGTGATTTGAGAGTATCTGGATGTAATTCCTGAGAGGCAGAAGAAGATGAATACGCTTTCATTCACTTTCTGCCTTGAAGCACTTCTCAGAATACAGCACAAGGATAGGCGATGCTGGTCTCATTGTGCCAAGGAAGAAGAGATCAGGTAGGAGAGGGTGAGGGAAGCAGAATTCACAGGGTGCAATAATGCAGCAGAGAGAGGTGTGCAGAGAAAGATATACGAAATGTGCATAGGGTTTTTATGAATTGTGAGCGATATATTAAACTATGTATGAAAAGTTACCCCAAGAGGCCAGGAAAAGAGCAAATGCTGAAGAAAGAGCAATTAATGGGGGATCATAAATTGGACATCTTTTAAAGATCTCCAGAGCTAGGGGAGATATGAGATTTGAGCAGTTGCAGTGGAAAGACCTCACTGAATGCATACAGCATTCAGGAAAGAACAATGACAAGAAGCCACACCTTATTATATTATATTTGGATGACTCGACTCTTGGGTAACATAATCAAAGTATAAGAAGAAAAGTTGAGGTCATGTTGCAGAGTTCTTTTTTATTTTTTTGGTACCGGGGGGTTGAACTCAGGACCTTGTGCTTGCCACTGAGCTAAATCCATGGGCCCCTGCAGAGTCCTTTTAAAAGGCCACCCTTTAATACATATTAAATGCAGAAGCATAATTTTAATATGAAGAAATATCTTTTCTCCCAAAAAACTGAGTTTTTCATGAAGTTTCTAAGACATAATTTTATTCACTTTAATTTTTGCACAATTATAATTCAGTTAATTAGGTAAGTGATGCTGCCAGACATTCACATGAAAATGAATGGAATTGTTCCTGCCTATTGAGGCTGCTGGCGTCTGTGTGGCTGTCCACTCTCATCAACTTTCAATTCCTGTGGAAAAGGCAGACATCCAGAAGTTCTGTGGAGCATAATACAAGAGAAAGACCATCAGTTGCTGCCAGTGCTTACTAAACACAGTTCTGCTCCTATTTTCTAAAAGTAAATGGTAGTTAATAAAGATCTTTAAAAATACAGATATATTCCTCACCCTAACTGACATAACTAATGTCCTTGAATACCTGCGCTTTCCGTGTCCCCTGCTCTTCTCATCACCAATACATATATAATTCAACAAAAAATTAGGAACACTCTCAACAATTCCAATGTCCTAACTCTAATATTATTCCCCCGGTTTCCTTGTTTTTGAGGCAGCTATGCCATCTAAACTATACATAACTAGAAAGGGCCTACTGTAACATTAACTATGCTTTATTTGTTTCTATTAATATTGTTTATACGTTTTACTTAAAACCACTGACAGGTGTCTTCTATAGTGGTGTATACAGTACAGTATGTGTCACTTCTCAAGCCCTCTCCCTACACTGAGGTGTTCACACTCCTTTACACTTTATTAACAAAGAGGAAACATACATGAAAACAAGTTCAGTCACAAGTGATCCCAAGTTCTACTATACTTCATATCTCCTTCAAACAATTTGTCCTTTTCCAGAGAATGTCTTTCACTGAGGTCTAATTAAGTTGCCTCATCAGTGAATCTGAGTCCTCCTTGGGCAGAAGGAAACCTCCATATCTTTGCATTCCTATTTGTACTAGCCCAGGATTTGGCCCCTAGTCCTTAATACAAACATGTTTACTTTGATCCCCATGTTATTTCTCCTTGATGTTCCATTCTACTTACCAGAGGTTATGCACGGTCTCAAATTAGCCATGACTGAAAGATACTCTGGCCCTAAGAATTTTTCATAAGTTGTTTTGTTCCCTAGGTTAGCCAAACATTCGGTATCATCGCTGAAGAGTAGGTCCTTGGTTGAGGACTCAAACAGCTGGAACATCATATATTCAAATCCATTTCTTCCAAAGAGCTCCTGGGCCAAACATACAGACAGTGAGTGACCTTGGGCTCCACAAAGCTTGGGGTTGTGGATTCTGCCTAGGAAGATCTAAGTCTGTGGACTGCCCAACTTGCCTCTTGGAAACCCAAGACTTAGCAACAGCTTAGGAGGAGCATGGTAGAAGCACGGTTGGTGGGTTCAAATCTTGGCCCTATCTTTTCTTTGCTGTTGACTTTAGGAAACTCTCCACTGAGGTCCGTGAACCTCAGTTCACTCATTTGTAAATGAGATAATAACACCAAATAGTAAGATGATAAATGTAAACTAGCTGGAAAATAGAAAAAGCTCCAAAATTGCTACTTTGTCACTATTTGGCCAACCGCTGCCACTTTCTGCACCATATTTCCTTGTCTTTCTGCTTCCTAGAGCCCTTGCTACCTTGCTTCTTCTATGATCTGGATCAGCCCCAAGATCCCAGCCATTTTCATCTTTTTGTTCCCCTCCCCTTTCCTCTTTTGTTCATTTCCCTGTGGCCAAGGTGACAGTTTGTCCGTGTAGAAGTTGTCCTTTAACATACTCAATGACAAGGCCATAATTTGTATATCTCCCTGGCAGGTGGTTTGTATCACTGGTGCATGGCTATCCCACTGGGTGGCTTTTTATGAATTTTATTAGTAAAAAGACCAATAGAAGTGATCAGATTCATTTATACCACCAGTGGTTCAAGCTAGCAGAAACATATTAAAAGGCCAAAACAAGAACCTCTTATGTTGACAGCTTTTCCTGGGTCATGATCCTTTAACTAGGCTGTGTAGGTGGTATATACTAAACACGAATTTCTCATTTGCAGGACCTCCAAAAATGAGGAGTGCTAGTGCAAAAGGCAGAGGAGGCTTTGGGTTTTCCCTAGTATTATCTGGATATGTTATTTAGATGTATCTATTTCCCAGAAGGGATACCATTATTCTACAGTACAAGCAAACATTAAAACACATGTAAATAAAACAAGACCGTGCCCAGGCTGCCCAATTTGTGGAAACACATTTGTGTCCACCCATGGGTCAGGCAGAGCAACTTCCATTCTGTTTTTCCTTCATTTAAGCTCAGCCTGGAAAGAAGAGCACTGAGCCGACTCCTTTACCTCTGCCATAGAAGAGAGAAAAGGTTAATTCTCATGGAGTAACTGAACAAGTCAAAAAGGTGCAACAAATCTGTTCAAGTGAGTCTCAAGCAAGCACCACATGTCTAAACTTTCCTCAATCTTAGACATCCCCAGAGCAGGAAGTGATCATAACCACCAGCAGTAATCAGAGGCAGGTCTAGGGGACTCAGGTCTCACTGCTCAGGGAGAAAGTGTGTGAGACTGGGTTGGGTGCACCTGTGCAGCTCCACAAATGAACTAAGCACCTAGCTGGCAGGGAGTGGACCCTCTGTGCCTATACCTGTTGGTTGAAGAGTATCCTGCGAACAAAATCTGCCTTATCTTTCCTCGAGATCACAGCATGATTTGGTACTATGGCTAGGTGGCAGCTCTGAGCCTCAGTCACAGGCTTCCTGGTGCCATCAAGGCACAGCAGCTCAAAGTCTTCCTGCTTCAGATCCTTAGCCCACACTTCGAGATTCTTTCCTGGGACGAGAAACTTGGATCAGCCTCAGGTGTTGGTCAAGTTACCCTCGCTGTGGTAGGAGACCACCACCAGTGCGTGGGCGTCACCAAATACACACACACACACACACACAAATAAAATGAGAAAAATCCACAAATTCAGATCCTTTTTGATTAGAAAGTTTTTAGTCCTATTAAAGGCAAAGGTTTCCTAAAACAAACCTGAAAAAGCCCTAGCCAAACAGGGGAAAAAATCAATAAATTGAACTATATCAAAAGTAAGAATGCCCAGTCAAAAGACACCATTAAGAAAATGAAAAGGCAAGCCACAGAGAGGGACAGGATATTTTTTTCATATGTACAGCTGGCAGAAACTTGCATTCAGAATATATAAAGAATGCCATAAATCACAGGAGTCAGACTTGAAGCCTATCTGCACATTGAGCCCATGACTAAAGCGATAATCAACACCCCCACTCAAGTCTTGAATTAGACAGGAAGAATTTTCTCATTTCCTAAGTTAAAAATGTTATGATCCTATATTATTAATATAAGTCACCAGATCCTGATAGGGTTAATAAAGCTCCTCAATTATCCTGCTGGTAGTGATTCCACACAGGAGACTCAGAGTTTTCCAAGGTAGGAAAGGAAGCACAGGCACATACCATTAGTGTTCTGTAGGACTGCGGAGTGCTTCACAAAGGCTACGTCTCCCTTCTGGACCAGACACCTGAACAGCAAGGGCCAGGTCAGTGAGGAGCAGAAGTGGAAGAGAGGGAGGGTTAGCAGGCATGAAAGGGAGACATCAAGAGGGAGTCACATCCCTTCTATATGTCCAATGCTTGCTCACAAGCAACCATAGCACCCATGTCATCCCTGGGCATTAGAGTTGAGAGAGTAATAAAAAGAGAGAGCTGCCTATTGAGTTTCTTCATGGACAGCCATTGTTTAGGTCTTTGCTTCAGATGGTGAGCAGTTTGTCTAGAGTGGAAGCTCGTATTCTCCTAGGAACAGTCACATCCAAGGGTTGACTCTCTGATTGGGCCAACATCCATAACATTAAGATTATAATCTGTGTGGAAGCTGTGACTTTGAAGGAGTTTCATCTCACTCACATGTCTATATAGTATTAAGAAAAATGGACATGCCTCACTGGACATTTGGTCACTCTTAATCCCATGAAATTGTGTCTCTGTGTTTAAGATGTATTATTTATGAGTAATGTTGAACACCTTAAAAATCAGGTTTGTGCGATCCAGTCAGTTGGAAATGACTAATGGTCAGGAGTACCTCTCTAGGTCTCGATCTCTCCTGACTTTAGGTGTCTCTATACCTAACTAAAATCAATTACTCCCATTCAAACTTGTTGAACTCTTTCACCCTACTTCTTTCCTTCATACCCCTTCATAGAATTGCTTCTTGGATGGTCATGATCATCTATCTTAGGTCCCCTTAAGGTCGAGTAGACAGAGAACTTCCCTATCTTTAACTTCATCTGGGCCTTCCTGCCAGCCTTGCTCTACTTTAAACCAGTGGTTCTCAAAGCTGTGGGCTAGGAACCAGCAGCATCAGTACCAAGGAGAAATCTGTTAGAAACTCAAGTACTTGCCCCACCAGATCTGCTGTTGGGTGAGAAACTCTGGAGGTGAAACCCTTGAACTGGCCTTTACAAGCCTCCAGGAGGTTCTGTTCAAGTGTGAGAACAGCCACATACCTGCTCTGAAGTATTCCCACCTTCTACAAACCTCTGTCTCTCCACACCCTCCCCTCTCCGCTACACTGACACACTCTGACATGTGCTCCTGCTTCCCAGTGAACAGCAGAAATCATTACGTGACTTTCTCCTTGCATTTGTCCTCCAGACCTGCCAGCCTGTTCCCAGTGGTTGTGTCCCACCATGCAGGTAAGAGAAGGATGGTCTCTCTCAGCAAAGGTGTGTTCACGAGGTGCTCTGAATCCTGACCCTGCCCACACTCACAGGAACTTTCTGTTGGATACTCTTTCTCTCATATGATTACTTTTCCTTGTTTACTGGAATTATTCACCAGCATTTATATGTCTTTCATTTAAAAATTTCAAAACCCAAAGCCCTTCCCTGAACCTACACTATCCCAGCAATGGATTCCTCTTTCCTGCTCATCCAAATGCTGAAAAAAAAAAAAAAAAAAGTAATCCACCTTCCTTACCACAAGTGCCTGTTTACATCACCCTTCCTGACCCTCTCCAGTCCAGCTTCCAGGACCAGTTTACTCAGTGTGGTCCTGCCAGGGTCACCAGATCCAGGGCCAGTTCTCAGCATCGTTCTGGGTTATCTCTCAAGTTCATCCTTTCCTCAGCAATTTATAAGTCATCCTTGTAAAATACCAAATTGCATTATATCTCTGGCTCTCCCTGGGAACTCTATTCTCTTCTACTTATGTCTTTTTTCATTTTTGTGCTTCAGCCACTCTATACGATTGTAATGTTATTTTTTAAAACTAGAAAACACACAAATTTGTGTAATTTTACTTTCAAAATTGTGGCTTTCAGCTCTCTTTTGCTTATTGTTCCTTTTTTGAGAACTGACTCCCTGTGCCTCAGCCCACTTCAATCCACATGGTCATAGTGGAGGCAGCTGTGACTTTAAATGTCACTTCACTGCATGAGCTGCATGGACAAGAAGCTTTCATCCAGGAAGGGGATGACACCCTCCCCTTTACTTGGAATTGGGACTAACGTATTATGTTGTGTGTTTGCTCCTTTACAATTGAGGTGCTATAAACAACACTGGGCCTGCTGGTCCATATGGATTGAGAAATAGAGTAAACCACCTTACAGGAAGAAACAGATGAGGCAGAGGTGCAGAAAGGGGGAGAGGTGCACTCAGGTGACACAGAGTGTCCCCTTAAGTTAAAAAAAAATCATTCACTGCTTATCTGGGGGTGCACATCCTGAATATTATCTGGCACTGCAATCTTTCAAGCATTTTGGCTGCCTCTTGATACTCAGCCCCCAGCCATTACATAGAGGAAGCCCCAGAGCATCTACTAAAACTTCCCCCTGGCATAGCCTGGTTCTCACAAGGTTTTCTCACACCAAAGAAGTTCTTATTCATTTTACTGGAGAAACATGAAACAAGATGAGAACGCCAAATGCTTCAGAAAAAGTGCTGAAGAAAAAAACATAAAGCAAGAAAAAGGACATGAAATTTTAAAGACACTGGCAAGAGAAGATTTCCCTGAGAAGTTCAAGAGGAACTGAGTGAACCGGCTGCGATGAGGTGAAGAGGAAGAGCATTCATTCCAGGTGAGGGTTAAGCAAGTCAAAGGTCCTCAGAAGAGGGTGTGTGAGCTCCTAAAGGAACCAGATGGCCAAGATGGTTGGACCAGCAAGTACACGGGGAAAGGAAGTAGGGATGAGATCAGGAAGGGTCTCCCAGATCACAAAGGGTCTTATAGAACAAACAAGGGCCGTGACTTGTACTATGAGTGATATGAGAAATCATCAGAGGGCTCTAAGTAGAGAAGTCTGTTGCTTTGATTTATGTTTGAACTCTAGGTGATGTATTGTGTGGAGGAAGAGAACAGGGAAAATGCATGGAGACCTGTTGGGTTATTATAAAATCAAAGGAGGGATGATGATATTTGGAGTCAGGGTGGTATCAATAGAAATGGATGGTGGGGTCAATTTTGAGTACCTTTTAAAGGTAGAACCGGCGTGATTTGATGATAAACCATACACATACGAAGTGTGAGAGAATAGAGAAGACATAAATAATGGCAAGGTTTTGACTCTTTTTCCAAAAGGGAAAATGAGGTTTCTGAGCAGAATGCAGCAAGGTAGCACTGTGTAAAATTTCTTTTTTGTTTTTCGTTTTTTGAGACAGGGTCTCACTATGTAGTGGAACTCACTATGTAGCCCAGGCTGGTCTCAAACTCATAGCGATCCTCCTGCCTCAGCCTCCCGAGTGCTGGGATTACAGCACCTGGCAGTGTGTAAAATTTCAAGAGCTCACTTTTGTATGTTTAAATTTCAGATAGTGGTTAAGTAGTCAAGGGAGATAACCAGTAGGTAGTTGAATACATGAGTCTGGAGTTTTATTTGGAGTTTTGGGGGACAGCAAAAATGGAATGCAAACTTGGGAACTGCTAATGTATACATACATGGAGACTGAATAAAACCACCAAAGGTGGTGCAGGAAAAGAGAAGACTTGCAAAGATGGAACCCTGGAGCATGTCAGCATGTTGGGAAAGAAGTTTGGAAAGTAAAATAAAGCCAGCGAAGAGCTGAGGTGCAATATCAGGAGAGGGAGGGAGGAATCCAAGAGTCTGGTCTTCTAGCAACCAAGAAAGAAAATACATATAGCAGAAGGAAGTAATCAGCAGGGCCAATGATTCTGGTAGATTAAGTAATGCAAAGACTAAAGACTGGCCTTGAGATTTAGCAGCATGGAGGTGTTTGGTGAATAAAAGTATGGTTTCAGCTGCATGGTGGGCTCTGGTGGACAAATAGGAAAGAAACGTATGGTAGATCATGAGGGAAGTACTGGAGACTTGAGGAAAAGAGAAATTATGGGATAATTTCCTTGAGGGGACAGGGGTTAGCGACATGGCTCACTTGAGATTTGCCCTCACACTTTAAAGGAAGGCCATCCCAGCAGTATAGGCACCAGCTAGGTGGTGGTGGGGGACTAGGAACTGAGGATATATGCAGAGTAATGATGATCGTGGCTGGTTCTAGAAAATATGCTGAGAAGTGAGGGAAAACAAGGACATGATGAGAGTGAAATCAGGGAAGAATATAGGATCAATGGATAGAGGGTCAGCAGAAGCGATGGCTACTGAGACATGAAGTTAGGAACAGGGAAAAGTTAGGACGCATGGAGAAGGAGCTGCCTGAAGCTAGGATTGTCCTTTCTGGGGTCCTTTATTGTGGTATGATGTATTTCTGAAGAGAACAATTCCAGATCCTCTGTATTGCCATCAAAATGGTATCAAAATGGGAGTGAACCTGATACCGATGTACTTTCTACTGTAAAGAAAAATTAAACTATTTTCAGTTTAGCTTTAACATTCAGCATATATTTCTGTAACTTATGTATGGCTTATGAAAGAAGCAAAACTCTGGAGAGGGCAGGGTGAAGCGGACTGCTGGTGTCTGAATAAAAGTCCTTTCTAGAGCCTCACACATGTTCCACATACTCTTATTCAGACAACAAAGTCCTACCGCCTCAGTGTCCAACACTGCCTATCACACTTAGACACAGATCTACCTATCAGGGCAACACCTGCTGCTCCAGTAGGTCACATACCAGACCCTTCCCTCTCCACACTGACCGCACAGACCTTTTCAACTGGTCTCAGCACCCCATGACTCACCTCACCCCATGCCCTTGTCTTTGATGGCCCTTCTTCCTGTATTATTCTTCCTCCAGATTTTCTCAGGCCTCATTGCCTCTCTGAAACCATGAGCCAAAATAACCTCTCCTCCATATAAGCTGATTATCTCAGGTGTCTTGTTATAGTGACATAACCCTGACTAATAACCCCCTTTGTTCTTCCACAGCCCTTACATTTGGGAAGAGTCTTATCCTTTTTGTGTTTATTGTCCTATTCTTCCCATGGGACTTGTGGGGTACAGAGATAGGACTATGTGTGTCTTGTTGGCTGCTGTAACTCCTCTAATAGAATAGCACCTGGCACATACTAAGTGCTCAATAAGTATCTCTTGGATGGGTGGAGGAGCCTAGGAATATCTATTTTTAGAAGATATCCATCAACCACATATAAGAAGAAAAATGTCTGGTGTCTCTCTTGTGATTTTAAACTGGCGCTCTAACATTCTATGGCTTGACTATAATCACACAGAAGAAAGGAGCAAAAGTAGAAGCAGGGAGTTGGCTTTGAAACCACCAATCACTCTTGTTCTTCTCCAGAGTCCTGGGCTCCCTCAGTCACCTGGTCCTGCAAGAGAGTTCTCCAGAACTGGGCTAGACTTCAGTTGCCGAGGCTAATCGGAATCACAGCAGCTCTGTGCTATAGCTCTCGCTCCTTCTAAACCAACACCAAGTTGCTGGGCTGATGAAAAGGGTGAGACAATGAGGGCTCACCAGAGTGGTACAGACATAAAGGGAGTGGACAGACACCACTCACCTGAGAGCCCCACTGGAGCCGTAGTAGCACTCATGGCTGTTGGGAGCACACATGTGGCTTGAGTTCCTGCTGCCACCACACAAAGCACAGAGTTGAGAATCTGGACTAGACCCAGGAGCACAGCTGTGACTGAAGAACTCATCTGTAGGAAAGTGGAATCAGAATCAGCTCTTCCTATGACAACAGCAGAGCCTCAGAGTCGTTCCTAAAACTGAATAATGCAAAGACAGACGCAGTTATCTGGCAACACGTCACTAAGAACAGGTACCTATGGAATTTAAAAATGATTTCAACAGGAGCAAAGTAAAGGGGAACTGATTTAAGATGAGTCAGGGTCTATGATCTCACAGAAATTCACCTTGTCCGGGCAAAGGGTAGTAGCATCAAGGGGTGGGACAGAGATTTTGGCCCCATGAGAGTAAAAAAAAAAGTGAAAGTTGTGGCTGGTTTAACCTAACCTCATATTTTCTGACCTTTCTGACCTCTGTGGTTCCCTTTCTCCTCTCTACAAGGTTTGCCATTATGACTTTAAGTCAGGAAGTCTAGAAAGACATGGTCACCAAGCCCAGTGCTGGTCTCCCAGGTAGCACAATAAAGAAATCAGGCACAGGTTCTGCCCTCTTGGAACCTGCTGCTCATGGAGTAACAGTCAGAACTCTATTAACCACACCAGTGAATTAATGCCTCCCCATTCTGTGAAGAAATAGTATGGTTCCAGGAGACTGAAGGTTGAGGAACCCTCTGTAGGCCTGGGGTTCAGGAAGAAGCCTCAAGACGAAAGAAGAAGAGTAGGTGTCCCCAAGTGAAGGGCAGAAGAGAGAGCTTCCACACAGGCGGCAGCACTTGGAAGGGCCTGTGTTGGGGTGGGGCAGGAGATCTGGCACAGAGAGCTTGATGGAGGCAACTGGAGCTGGACCACAGAGAGGCATCGAGTGAGGGTAGAGGCAGGGTCCAGGCCACATGGGACCTTTCACATCACTGCAGCTATTGTTTTTTATCCCTAAAGTAATGCAGGGTTCTAGACAATGCTGGGCCAGGGATAGTGTACAGTATACAGTCAGATATGCACCTTGCAAACGTCAGCCTGGCAGAGGGGCAGAGGGGTCTAGGGGTAGGCAGGCATTGCAGTGGTCCAGGGGTGGACAACAGCAGAGCAAAGGGGTGAGAGATGAATGGAAGGGGAAGAAATTAGTATTGCTGATGACGGACAGGTAGGTGGAGGTTGACATGCTAGTTTTTTTTTCATTATTTAGAGAATATTAGTTTCTGTAATCAAACCCACGTAAATAAGACCTTACATATTAAATACAGTGCGTTACCCCTGTACAAATGGAAAAAAAATTAACATTTCTAGACTAATATGGCTGTTAATTTCTGCACAATGCCAACTCAACACAGTAAACTGGGATAACTTTTTTCAAAGTTGACAGCACAGTTAAAGTTTCCAAAAATTCAAATTATATATATG